GGCAGGAGACGGCCCTGAGGGACCCCGGCGGCCTCTGCCGCTCCCCCGCTCTCAGACCTGGAGGGGCTCTGGGCGCGGATCTCCCGCAACGCAGTTCACATTTTTAACACCCTGTAATGGTCAAATGCTGCTGCTTTTGAAATACGACACAAAACCAACCAGCCCCTCGGTGCTCTGTGTTCTCTTCCACAGGGGAACTTCACGTTTAACCGACAGCTGCGTTCTGGTGGTGATGAAGGGCTGCACAGTAAATACTGAGGAATATCTTACTGTGAATGCCATCGTGGCAAAAGGGGTTTTTACAAATAGGTTTCTCGGTTCTGTCTTCCTCAGAGGTTCTTAACAATTAAGAAAAGTTCAGGAGAGAGGTTGGGGAGTGCCCACTATTTGGTTTAAGATCATGATGAATTAAAGTGGATAATCCTGAAAGTAGATATAAAACTTTCTAAATGCACTGGCTTTTTAGCTTGGCCATCTTGTAGCAGTCTACTTAAGAGAATTTAAAAATTCACAGTAGCAGCTTTCCACCCCTTCCAGATCAAACTACTAATTTAGTTTTCCATTTGTTGTTTGAATTCCCGTCTACCAATGCGTGTCGGATGGGAGCACACCCCATGGCAGGAGTGGCTTGCTGAGGGTCCCGAGCTGTGCTGCTCAGGGAGTGGGGTTCACTGCTGCTGCGTGTATGCAATACAGCTGTAACAGTATGACATCTTCTGCTTCTTCCCTTTATGTTTTTGGTAATTCAGGGCTAAATCTAACGAGGGGCTTAGAAGCCTAGGAGTTTGATGCTGCTCTTCCGCCTCCACCAACAGCAAGGTTGCCCATCCCGTAATGCTCATCCAAACTGCTGTACTGAGCAGGAGATGCTAGTGTGAGTCTCTAGATGATATGGGAGAAGATAGTGTCTAACATCCTGCCTTTCTCAAAAATTAAGTACTGACAGGAATAAATGACACCCTTTAGATGCTTCCTGCAGATTGGACCGCCTGAGAAATTTAGGCAGAACACCTGATTTCTGGGATCTAAACCAGAGCTAAACCTTTGGGAGCTTTTTGGATTTATTGTATGATGTTACCCAATTTAACCTGTCTGTTGTTGGGTCTAAACTTCTGTTGTTGATCATAGAGCAGCCACATTTTTACTATGTCTAGTGTCCATTGGGAGGGAAACATTTTTTATTGTCTTGCAGGGTAGATTGTAAATCCATGTTTGTTCTAGCTGTGTGTGATCTGTGTGTACAAAAGCATCAAGTGGCTAGTAGGATCTCTTCTGAAAGCAGCTAATTCTCTAGAATTAAATTCAGATGTTAGTAAAGCTTTTTGTTTTTTGTTGGGTTGCCCCTTCCCCCCACCCCCCAGTTAATTTCAAGGATTAAATAACGTCAGAAAAAAAAGGTTTGGGTTTTTTTTTTGTGGAAAACCAAGATGATCGGTATTATAGTCTGAAAAAAATGTGATCTTAAAGGAATCTCAGGCAGCATTCACACTGGCAATGTTTACTTATCCAAACAGTACTCACTAGGACTGTTGCACAAATTGCAGTGCAATAAGGAAATACCTGAGATGGGTATTTTACATTCTGAGCACCCAATCCACAGCGTGGTCCCACTCACAATTATCTGATGCCCTCAGCAGCAGCTAGTTTTCTGCACCTCAGTTCTAATCCAAAGTAAAGTAGCAAAAGTGGTTTTCCCAGTGGTAGCGAGTGAATTGTTTGGATGGTATCTTTCTGACATTTGGTTTGTTTCTAATCATGGCTTGCTTTATGACTGCAGAAACTACTGTCCTGCCCTACCTGGGGAGACACCTGGATGGTGGAAATGAGCAAGCAGGAGGGGAAGGGGAGGGTTTAAACACTTTTTTCTGCTGATAAAAATCCTGGCCTCCAGAGTGTGCCGCAGAGTGTGTCAGCACCATGCTTGGTGAGCCTCCCCTCCCGAGTGGGCTCCTCAGCGTGGCCCGCAGGAGCACTGTGCTGCTGCCCAAGTCACACCCTGGCTTGGTGCTGGGACCACTTCCTGGCTTCCCTTTCCCTCCACCAAGGCCCGCTGTGGTACTTGCTTGAAAGCTTGCTGATTACTCACTGATTACTCTCAAGTGATTATTTTCTATTCAGAGGCTGCATTTATATTCAAGTACAGCTATAGAAAGGTTTAAGAAATTAATTTATACTTGCATGTAGGCGGCTGTGTGTGGAAATAAGACAGGAGAGTGCCTCCTCCAGGAGGAGGGTACATGAAATGGTACAGCAAATCTCTTGCAAAACCTGTTTGCGTGTTCTTCAGATGATCGCGTTGTGGTTCCATGTCCCCGGTCGTCACAAGATATTTGCATAGATGCTTCCTTCCTTCTTCAAGACTCTTTCCTGCTGCTAGTTGCTCATATTTTGCATTCTGTTTTTAAACTTAAGTGTAAGTGTAGGATTTTAGGACGAAGGGGAAAGGAACAAGAAAAAAACCCCTGTAATTTTAAGTCCAACTTGATCAGTTTCTGAAAGAAACAGTGTAACTGGACAAAGTTATGTCCTCGCAGAACAGGGATTGGTCTCTACCCTCTCCTCCCTTCCGTGGTGCAGCTCAGCCCCACGGTTCACGGCGGCTTCTGAAGTCACTGAGAAAAATCCATGGGGAACAGTATAGTTTCTGCATGTTTCTTCTGCTTCATCCTCAGTGCTGCCTGATTTAGGGCCAGGAGGTTTCCTTCAGACAAGGGTAGGAGTAGGTAATGAATACAACGCATTTAGCATTACGTGAAGGAGCACAGGGTATGCTTCCTATGTGGTTAGCACTGAATCTTTACTTTTCACCAGGACACGTTGTACTTCAGAAGCTAGTTGCCATCTGCCCTTTTATTCAATTGAGCAGAAGGAATAAATTTAAACCTCACCTCTGTGTATTTCAAGAAATCTTATGTTGACATCTTGGACACCTCAAGCCATGTGGGAGCAAGTCAGGGAGATATTTATACGTTTTGATGTCATGTGTGGGGAAAGCTGTGCACTGTG